TTCCTGCTACATACTCCTGATCTGAGCCTCACCAGCTTTAAGAACGCTTCTGTTAAATACCGTAATGCTCCCAATTACGAGTGATCTGGATTGTTTATTTTCTAAACAGATTTTCCCCCCCTCCTCGCCCCCGGGAAATCCCATAAGCCTAAGACAAAAGCAGTCTTGAAGAGGTGTTTCAACCTCTTTTGGCTGTACAATATCCACAGCTGGCTCGATTTCCCTAATTGTTTCATACTGACCTTGAGGATATTTCGGCCATTAAACGACTCCCGTTCCTTGAAAGATGATTTACCAGTCATTGTATTGTTTCGCTCTTCAGCTGTAAAGAGAAAAGCCACCACCAGAATGAGCTTCAGATGGGAGAACTGTGTGTGCTGTACTTCACCCCCCCACTCTCACCCTCCCCAAAGTCAGCTGCCAGCTAATAAACCATCTTTGCCCAGTTCCTAATGCAAAAAAAACCCCACTTCCACTTTGATTTTAAAGACAACAAGGCTGAATACGCAGGAATAGGTGCCTTTATCGGGATCACCTACTTTACCCAGATGAAAAACCCTACATCATAGCTAATGCTAGGGCGATTCTGTAGGGCTGACGGCTCAGTGCAACACATCTGCTTCTCTCTGGCTGATTATAATCCCACATCCTGCCAGGGTGAGAGTCAGCACCGCGAGCACTTGCATCGCCTGGAACGGCACCAAATACCAGGCTGAGCGTGCGAGCACAGTGCCAGGCGCGATCCGGACAGCACCTATACAAACCTCTGCTGCCTGCTCCGGGAAGAACATACATGTGGCGCGTATGCTTCTGCGGGGTGGGCACGCAGCCACACACACAGAGACAGTAAGAATAGCAACCGAGGCCTACGGCAACTGCCAAATGCCTACGTCTTAGATCTATTTCCCCAGAGCACGTCTGGATTTTTATATAATCCCCAAGTACATGATCTGTTCTTTCCACAGGACCTCTGCCTCGCTCAGTGAATATATTCAATATTTCCTTTTCATCTCCAGCATTAACTATGAAGTCCGACTCACACCTAGCACGCTATTCAAATCCTGTATTGAATATAAAGCGACTTCTACGGCTATCCGTGTAATGCTCTCACCACTGTGTCTGAATGCCTCGCATGCCTCATGGGGTTGTTCAGAATACAGACTCGGTGCCAGAAGCAGCTGCCCGTGTGCCTCCCCTGACAGAGCGCCACATCAGCACTTTGGGCTCACATTTCCACCAGTTTTCAGGGCTCAATTTGAGAGCTAAGCCCTACCTTTCCAGGGTTTCTAGTATGCTTATCTGACTTTTGTAGCAGTCATGCCCAAAATCTGCCGCTGGGCGCACAGAAAACCGTAACACAAACCATCTGCTGTTATCACTGTCCGTACAGAGACTCGCAGAGGCAGTAACTGGAGAATAATCGACATAACCTGTCGGCATCGCACAGAGGCCGCTGCGCCAGAGAAAGCCCCAAAAAGCTTTAGCGCGATGCTGTTAAGGCTCGCAAACTACACATCAGTGTCGGAGCACATGCGTGTCTGCACACGGAGAACAAGGCTGTAATATACTGCCCCTCCCTAAACGCAATGCATCTGAGGCTGCTTTATAAAGTAGTGCGATAAGAACGATGCTACAGACTGCCAGAGCAGACAATCTTTTGGCAGACACTATACGTTCAATAATGGCTCATATTCAGCCTCGTAGCCAGCTGAATCTGATTTAACGAGAGTGACACTGGAATCACCTTCCTAAACCAACAGGCAATCTTTAATTGGACCGAAGAGGATCACGTTTTTGTCTTGTTTAAAGGTCAGCACAGCACATTGAGTTGTGATGGAATTTCAATTCAGCGTTGGGGAACGGAGAGCCCAAGACCTCACACAGTACTTGAACGCATTCCTCTCTGGCCCAGATCTTATGAGTGCTACTGGGTGATAGCGTTTCTGAAGCTATGACAAAGAATCTTCGAAAAGATCCAGAAAGTGCTCAAAGAATGCCTGCCTTCTCCAGCTCTGCTGATTGCTTTTTCATTTTCTTCTGGGTTTTATTTAATGACATCCCTCCACAACCTTGTAGGTATTTTTGAGACTAAGAAAAAAATCACAAAATTTAAAAAAAGAAACCTAAGAGCCTACAAAAGCATTTCCCATTCAGAGGTACTACTTTAAATGCATTTATCAGTAAGGATGAGGGATACACACCACTTGGGTCTTTCCTGAAGAGAGTGTTCATGACCGTAGCGTGCAGTTTCACCCTATCCCACTCTTTAAGCATCAGGCCAGAGGCCACAAACCTTTCCACCAGCTGATCAGCGATCACCTGCAACCTAGGGAGGCAAAAAGAGAAAGAACAGAGCCATGTAAACAAAGGAGAAACCTCTGTGTCACCAGCTTTTCACATCCCAGCCAGGGAGGGCAGCATGTGTGAAGTCTCTGCACGTACATGGGGAAAGGGAGCTAGTTGCTGATGGAAAGAGAACAGAGCCGCCAGGATTCAGTTCTAATGCAAAAAGTTCTGGCTGTTTCACAAAGCTTCCTCAGTGATCACTTCTGCTTGCAAATATTCCACGAAGAAGGGCAGATTTAGCCTAGCAGAGAGCTTCTCAGCAGTGACAGATGTTATTGGGACTTGAAGGATGCTTCTTTCTACTGCCAGGAAACACAATGTAACACTCCTTACAAATGTTAAAATGGGCAGACCCCCGGCGGGGCTTAGGCACCTCGACTCCTGGGGGGTCTGCTCTGCTCAGGGACCATGACCTGTACAGTGTACCGGGCTGGAGCTCAGACCCCTCTCTGTCCCAAATAAGCAAACCAGTCAGTGGGCTTTATTTCTGGAGAGCCCAGAATGCGGTAACAGAGGGCATAAACCCAGACAGCATATCCTGGTGAATGCTGCAGCTTCGGAGCTACGAAGCAAGCAGAATGACTTGTCTGGCCTCGGTCAGGGACGAAAGCAGCCATGGCTGCTGGGATCTGTGGGCAGACCTGTCCTAGGACAGGCAGCAGGAACAGGCAGGCGATCGGAGCAGTGCACTCGTGTATCCTATGTCTAAAGAGCTGGAGGAACTTCCAGGCTCCTGCTGTCCCCCACAAAATTTCTGCAGTGCCCCAGGCTTACCAAAAGCAGCAAGGACGCTCTAGAACAAGAGCTTCCCGTCCCTGGAAACACGGCAAGAGGGCATTACTCTATGCAGAAGAATTTGGGCTTCTCTCGCCGCGTCTGAGGGCTTACACAGCTCTCTGCTCCACGAGGTGCCACCACTTTGGTGTCTCAGCTGCAGCAGTAGAGGCAGAGCGTGGCCCCTGAGGCTGGCCCCCAGAGCCTGGGGCTGCCACGCTCCTACCCCACCGCTGGTTTTGTACTCCCCCTCACGGGCTGCCAGCCCCCATGTGACGATTTCAAGACTCTCAAACTACCAATTCTCATGGTTTTCTACCAATTTCTGGCTTTACATCAGTGATTTTTAAAATTAGCAATGACAAAGATTAAATGAATATCATTACAGACAATACTAAAACAAATTAACAGAGAATAGCTCAAGTGAAAATGGTGCTTTATTACGTTATAAAGTTAATCAAGGAAATAAAACAAATTAGAATGAATTATAATGGAAATTATTTGCCATGTGGGAGGCATCAGAGCATGATCCCTCTCTCAGTCTGAGCCATTATGTGTGCAGAAGGGCTTGCCAACCCCTAATTCTGTCTGCAGTTATGCAAGCTAAGTCAGGGCAAATCAAATCTCCTGCTTTATAGCTTAAGCTGATCAAGATCATCCAAAGATCAGGAAGGAACTCCACCCCTCAGCCATGCCAGGAACTACACAGACCTAGCAAGACGTCTTGCATGAGACAGGAAAGCACACACCTCTCTTAAACACAGGCTGCAGCAGCCTGATCCGGCACAGCAAACCACGTGGCTGCTGCTCTCCGCTAGTATTCAGCCTTGCAGCTGAGAAACTCTGCTTTCTACCTGCTTTCCCCATTTCCCTGAGCAAAGCACAGCAGGTTTTAGCAGGCAAGAGGTGCATGGAGCTGCTCAGCAATGAGCCGTCTAGCAGATGAGAAAATGAAGCAGAGTTTTCTGGAGGGATCAACATTCGTCCCCTCTTTATAATCACCGTTTGTCCAACACTGTGTCTGCTGGAATCTCAAAGGAAGCAAAAAAAGCTTTCCCTGCTCTCCATCAACACAAAAATATGTTCTTTCCCCTCTGTAAAGCTAAATGTTTTCTGGATGCTCGCCAGCAGTTAAGGAACTATATTGGGGGAGAAGTGCCAGATGAATTAATTTGCAGGTGAGGCAGGACCGGCCTGGGCCAAGGATAAAAACTGACAATTGCTTGGCCCTCTCTGAGCACGCTGCTATGCGAAAAGCAAAAAAGATGTTGGAGAAAAGAAGTCTAGTAGCCTCCAGGTGCCACACAAAGCACAAGATCTGGGTTTGGTCAAAACCTCAGCTAATAGATCTCCATGAAGGACAGAGGAGCTCTTTCTCGGGGGAACGGGTAGGGGCCATTTTCAGTTTCAAGGCAAGGTAGATTTGAAGACCTCATTTCTCTCCCCTGCCAAAAGCAGCTCTGCCACCCTTAACGTACATCAGCATTTTCTTCTAGCATTATGGCTAAGTGGGTTCTCAGCAAAACGGATAATGCTGGCATCTGAAGCAGACCACAGCGCTAGTACCAACAACTCAAGCTGTGCCCAGTGGCAGGCAGACATCGCTGCCTCACCTTAGGCCCTGCTTACGCTCTACAGGATTTCTCTAACAGCTCCTCAGTTGGCAGACTTATTTTCAGATGCAAACAGACTTGCAAGCACTACACCTCAGAGATGATCCACAGCTCGGTGACTCGGGAGAAAAGAGGCCCATACCTCAGCTCCCAGAGCTGACACTTCGGACCCTTTCAACAACGAACTGACTGAAGGGCATTTGGGTCATCCAGTGGCTGCCTCTCTCGTCTTTCTGAGTGCTTCTGCCTTGTTTCTCCTGGCAGTTCTGTCTCCTGGCTGATCTCTAGCTTGTCCTGGTTCTCCACCCGCCCCGTTTGTTTTATCTCACCTCTTCCAGAGTAGGACAGACTTCAAAGTGGAAGAGCAGAGAAGAGGAAAAGATTTCAATTCCTACTGCCTCCCAGCAATTCTCACATTTTCATTTTCCCACCCATTTCCTTATCCCATTTCCGACCTCTTACTTCAACACAGCCTCCAAACTGCAGTTTTAAGCAGAGGCCCCCCCTTGCCTCCTCAGCCCTCGGGGAAAGGAGATGCCAGAACATGTCCTTTCTTCCCTGAGCCGGTCCCTGCTCGCAGCCTCCCTCCTCCAGCTGCACTGCTTTGTGCTCCCTCTGCTAGCTCCTGCTGTCCTCTAGCAACGGGAACAGACACAAAAGGGCAGCACTGCCAGAAAAAGAGAAGGCTAAGGCTCAGAGAGAGAAGGCTAAAGCTCTTTTGGCTACTCCCCTACCCTCTTTCCCACCCACCTCACAACTGGCAGCACAATACAGCAGCTCTTAGGTTTCTCCGGTCTTCCAGAAAGCAGCAAGAGAAAAGATGGTGCTGCCACAGGTGATGTACTTGTCAAAAACGAAATGGAGGAAGGTTGTCCAGACACCGCCACATCCCGGGCAGCACTGTTTGTAGACCTAAAGCCATCAGCCACATGGGCCAACAGCCCAAACACAGGCACTGACACCAACCAGGCTTTGAGATTTCACACCAGCAGCTCAGAAGACAGACATTTCACACCCAGCGCCTGTTCCAGGCTGCTTACAGACACAAAAACCAACTCTGCAACCAAGTCATGCTTTTCTGAGGACCTTCTGGTGTAACTGGGTTTTAAGAATAATTAAGTGCCGCAGAAGATGCCAGGCTGTCCAGATTAATCTGGATTGCAGGTTGGGAACTAGACAACAGAGGCCAAGTTGTCCTGCCTTCTAAGTCATCTCAGGAGTATCTCCTTGGCCATCTTATCACCGCGTGAGCTACACCACCATTATTCAATCTGACAGACTGCTACAGAAACAAATGACATCTTTCAGCTGTACCACCAGTGACTGATTTAAAGAGCAAACACCTCACTGCCTTAACTGGTTTAGGAAGCAAGAACGACTTCATCTTCCTGACTGCTGGCCCAAGGACTGCTAGCAGCACCCACCAGCTTCAGACAGCAGAGGGTTTCTCTGGCACACCGCTACCGCTGCCACGGCACATCGAGGAGGAATGACAGAAGGGAGCACGGGGAACTCACCTGTCCGAGCCATCCTTCATGTGGACTTTGGCATAAAGGACGTCCATCATGGCAGGGTCATCATTCATGTACTCCACTCCTGCCACCTCCACGGTCAGGGGTTTGCCTCCAGCAATCTGGCTAAAATACAACCAATCCTTTATGTTAAAAAGCAAAACATCACATTTGCTTTTGAAATACAACGCATAGTACTCCTCATGCATACAATAAATATTTGGTTTTACTAAGGGAATGATATAAAACACATTTTTTGCTACAGTTAAACACAACTTTGAGGTTAAGCGGGACTTAAACGTTATACAGAGCAAATGGGGCAGTGAACTCCACTGAGGAGTTCTCTTCCCCATATCTTTCAGGTTGCGTGCACTGAAAAAAAACAAACAGAAAAAAGGGTCCCTAATTTCTAAATCTCAAAAGGCCACAGCTGCTATTGTCTCATCATCTCAAGAAATAGCATAATAACATTTAAATTCATATGTTCAGTATTTTAGACACACATTAAGTCAACTTTTCAGTGTTCACAGGCCATCTCAACGAGGAGATCTCTATTTACATTTCAGAAAACCCGTCAGCAGTAAAATGGTACGAGTTCTCAACCCAGAGAACTCCTGCCTTCCCTGTGAAGAGAGCAATCGTGACACAAAATTTCCCAGAGAAAATCAACGAGCAGAAGTACTCAATGCAGAATGCAGTTTTAAGTACATTTCAACATCCACTTACAAATGCTGGAAGTAAATAGAGCTGTTTTAAAATCAGCTCCAGCTACTCTTGCAGGAAGGCAAAACTGAAAATGTGTGCGGGATATAATATGCACTCCCACACCTGCAAACACACTGTGAAGTGTATCTGCTTCCAAACACGCCACCTCCTTGCCTTAACCACCAGAACATCACAGGGAGGCAGGGCGCCGCAGCGAAAGCTCCCTGTGAGTAAGTGCCATTGTCTCATTTAACGCCGAGGTCTCCTGGAAAGTACAGGGAGTGTCTGGGCAGGCAGAAGTAATAAACACGAGTTAACAACGTGAGCATGACTTTGCTCTAACCTTGCTCGCTTCTGTTCAGCTTGCCCAAGAGACCGCTTTTTAGATTCTTGGCAAAGCTTCCCAGGTGGAATAAGGAGAATGTGATTTCCCCTTCCAGTATGTTTACTGGGAGGAAAACAGCACAAGTGCAATGTTGTGCACATCACACCGATAGCGCTTAAGGCCACCTAAAGAGGGTCAAAAGGGGCGCCATCTACTTTCACATGGCACCGCCTGCGTTTAGAAAAGTAAATGATCGCTAATGAAGGTTTATGTGAGTGGAAGGGAGCCTAAATTAATTTTCAAAGTATATTTATTTGGGTGTGGCAGAGGAAATAACCTAAAGGTTACATTCAAGTGTTAATTCCCCCTCCGCTAAAGGAAATGGAGAGTAGAGATTTCCTCTGCCTCAATTCAACCCACTTATGAGGAAGCTCACACTTTCCAAATATTGTCTTCCCCTGGAAACGCACTTGCATTTCTGTTTAACAGCTGAAAAACCAAAGTTGTCATTTTAAAGGCTGAGGTATGAATTTTGGCTGTGCGTTAATTACCGCAGATATTAGCTGGCACAGCGTGGCTCATTCTTCACTCACCGAGGAGATAAATAAATAAATATAAACCAAGGATCCGTGCTCTATGTGCAAAGGCTTTGCAGAAATAAATAAATAAACTGATCCCTCAGGCCATCTCCAATTTCTAAGCTGAACGGAGATAAGCTAATTACAGTGTCATTCAACCGCATTTACAGTTAAAGCCCTAACATCTGCAGCTCAGTGTTAACAGGCAGCGAGAAAGCCCCGGTCCTGGAGCAGCACTGAACATTTCAGACTCATTGCTCACACGGCTCGTGCTGGCTACCCAGCACACAGCTCCCCGCATCAAGAAATGCATGTCAAGGACACCTCAGCATCTGCTCTGAGGCAGGAGGGAAGCAGCGTGTCGGAGCCCACTGCAGGCAACGCGTGAAGGTAATAGAGCTCGTCCCTCCCTCTGCAGCAGGCAGGGGACAACAGCACAAATTGCTCACGCAAAAATAACGGGGACGCGTGTGAGAAAAAGAAATGAGTAGAGCAGGTTTTCAGGGAATGCTGAGGGTTTGAGCTGAGCTGCAAGATATTGTTAGACTCCTTGTGACTGCTCAGTGATTTCCGCTGCTCTCATTTGAATCTTTTCAGCCTTTTTCCAAATTTCTAGAGTTGAGATAGACTATTTAGCCACTTTTCTTTTTTTTTTTTTTTTTTTTTTTTTTTTTTTCTCTCTCGCTGTCCTTTGTAAAAGACACCTTGCTGCTTTTCCCCCACTCAAGTTCTTGGTGATGACATTCCTTTTTTATCACTTACTCCACAAAGTCCTCTTTGCATCGCTGTAGGAGGTCACACGCTTTCTGGATCTCTTGTTCGTTCAGAAGTACCAGCGTCCCAAGAGTCAGGTGAAGCTTTGCAGGGTTCTGGAACAGGCTGCTGCTGACCCCGTGATCCTACAAATCAGTCAATCAATCATATATAGGTGTCTTATCTCATACACACACACACCCCCCCGCTCCATCAGAGGGATAAATACTACAGACAACAGGTACCAAGCCACTGGCATCAAACCTTTTATCTCTGCATCACTGGTTGGGTTGGCAGTGACTCAAAGTTGAAACGAGAAACAAAATTTCACAGGCTTTGCGAGCGAGCTCAGCCTGACAGAAAAGGCGCAGCCCCCCACCGCACGCACG